TAAATCCTTTCCTTAAAACACCGGTATTAAGGAATCAATAGAGACATTAAAAAAATAATTAACAAATTAGGGACTAGTGAACTATTAGTCAAGATTCAAGATGTCATTGTCATTCTTTGGAAGTTTTCTAACGGAATATCCTAAGTATCCGTTCAAATACAACTCGACGTCATGATATGCAGCAACCTCCAAACGATGTGCAGTAGAAACGTACGTAATACCTTCCTAAAACAGCTAATTACTACCTGAGGAAATACCAAAAGACTTCTAAAATTCTCCTACTAAAAAACTCAATTTTGCACCAATTTACAGAAAATACACAAGGCGACTAGCGCAAAGTTGTACAAGTTTTTGCTAGGATCTAGATTATAAAAAGTCTGGACTTTGAAGCAACAATTTCAAATTATATGGGAATTTAGACAGCAAAATTTTCCGAGTCCAGCATATGGATTCGGTCAGCCAACTGCGACTTCTGATAGGCAATATTTCTAAAATATGGAAATTATTTCTAAACAAGAGAAAAGTTTAAATATACGTATGTTATGAACCAAAATCAAATTCAAATTATGGCGCGAGATTGCACTTTCTCAACAGTAAAAATTATCTTTTCTTAAAAGCCACTTATACATTTAATTAACAAATCCCAATACTTCAAGACAATTTTTTATCTCTTCTCACAAGGACTATATAAGGCAGTTTGTCAAAGCGTTTGCCAATTTCAGGCAGAATGATCCATGGCTGTAAAATTTACCTTTCTTCAGTAAAAGAAAATAGTGACTCATAATGTCTTTTATGAAATGCGAAGGTTGCTAGTTCACGTCGGAGCTACTGTATTAAATTTTTTTAAGGAAGCTATAAGTGAAAAAGTAACGGTTACTAAGCCGTTCATTACAATTTTTACTATGTCCCACAGAAAAACCAGTTTAAAAGAAATAAATTTATAGGGATTTCAAACTTTATCTTTTCAAAATACTCCTCCCTCTGTTTTCTTCACTTGGAACCGTGAAAAAATATTCAGAAAGAGAGCTAACTATTTACTATTTCAAGATGCTAATTATTACAACTGAAATTATCATCGATGGTTAACAATAAAGAACGTTAGTATAAGAGAATTATGAGTAAATTCGAGTAAATGAAACAAACATCTTTAAGTATTTGGTACATCCTGCGTTCCATATTGACTCCAACGCTACTAGTAGCTTCGTCAAGCATAGCTAAAATTGGTTTACGGTAGATAACCCTAGCGAAAGACAATCGCTGTTGCTCACCCGGCGTTAGCGAATCTTGCCTACAAAAGGAATATAGCAAAAATAAAAGAATATCTGGAACGATAACAACGTAGATTTGGTTGTTTTCAGATTAAGATACAATACTACGACTGCCAGAAAGAAAAAGACAAAAACACTTATTTTTGAAAAGTAGCAAAAGAAGTACCATTCGAAATCTACAGCCCGTGTAATGTCACAACATCGGTCGATCAGCGATTGTAAGTCAAGAAGGTGTAAAATTGACTTCACCTTGGCAACATCTGCAGTTAACAAAACAACCTTGACCCTACTATTAAGGAGTTGGAGACCATCACTTCATATGGCTAATCAGGAACGAAAAAACAAACCAGCAACATTGATTTTATCCTCTTGAACAACGACAGGGAAGCGGATCTGCTGATAAAGACTAAGGCCACCTATGGGGAAATAAGGCCGCTGAGGCAAATGAACCACAGAACACCTCTCAGTGCACTGCTGAATTAGGCCTAAAACAAAGTCCAAGAAGATAAGCCTAAATTGTTAACTGCATCAAAAATGTTTTGTAAAATTAGTTTCAAATAAAATACAGAGTAAAGAACAGGTGCAACTACTTCTACTACAATCCATCCATAACTAACCATAATATAATTTTAAACAGAAATGTAAGATAACAATACCACTATTAACGTGCCAAAGATTTGCTATCACTCTAAACATTGACGATTTCCCAACTCCACTGTCGCCGGTTAGTATTATGTTCTCACCCCTTTTTATTGACAGCGTAAGGCCTAAAAATGATGTGATTACTACGCAATACGTCGGTATATCACTAGTCAAGGCCTTAAAATTAAATCAATTAGCCAATTGGAAGTAAATGCTCTGGTATTTTACAAAACTGCAAATTCTAGCAAAAATTCACCCATAACCTTCAATCAGTTTGTGATCTGGGTCACTTGGTAATGAGTAACCAACATTTTTAAACTCGTACAAAACTTCAGATTCCATCGGAGTCCGCTCAGCTCCCAAAGACACCGTATCTATATCACTTTCTTCACCTAGGGCTTCTAAAATTGTTAGCTACTTCAAAAACATTCTGTAAAATTAGATTCAAATGAATTCCGTAATATTAAGAAAATAAATACACTTTTTTTTTAATCCAATAATAAGGTAATTTAAGTAAATTACTTTCATCATCATTCACATAAGACTCTTTCAATCGGTTCCTTATTAACAACATGAACTCAGCAACACTGCAATACAAATTTAAAACAAAAGTTAGTAGAGGGACAATGGGCAGGAACTGCCCATTGGTAGCACCATTAATTTGTAGAAATAGAACAAAGGTTTTTGGACGCTTAATTCAAACTAAAAACTTCAAAAAGAACTTGCAACTACTTAAACAGAAAATTCCAAATGTTCACAGCAGGCAAAAGCAAATACAATATCGTCTTACCGTTGCAAAATTCCTGCCATTTCACCTAGTGTCACTGCAACATCGGTAAGTCTCGTAAAACTGTTAACCAACATTATATAGAAAAATGCGTTCTGAAAACTACTTGCTGAGCTTCAAAAATAAATAAGAGTAAGCACCAAATGGTAATAAAAGATAAATGAAACTATTTTTTTGCAAGCTGACATTGCTAATAATAGTCCCCAATTCTTCAGGACGCTTCCCTTCGTAGGAATGAAGCACAAATATTGGTATAATTTGAACAAGATAGCTAAGAATCATCCCAAAATAATCGAAAGTCTGTTGCCAAACTGTAATAAAAAGTTGTGATCGAACAAACATGGTTGTTACTGCGCGGTATAATTGAAAGAAATATTAGAAGTGGATTTTGGTTAGACACTAAAGAGTCTGATCAAAACGTACAAAATGCTGGTAATTTCCGGCAAAAGAACCTTAACTGACGACCAACCAGGAAATGAAGAAGTCTGTTACATTCAAAGAGTTCAAAACTTTCAGCGTCAAAAAGTGCCGAAGATTCGGCATTCGCTCGAATAGAAGAGTGCTTATACCTGCAAAAAAATCGGAAAAAAGATATTCTGAGACGAAGTTTGAGAGTAATCGGAAAAGAGTAAAGAGCATAAGAATGATTAATATAATGCAACAGAAGAAAGTAACAAAGCTTACCTAAAGACGCCTTCAGCTTTCTCAACTTTAGCACTCCAATTTGCCATCGGAGCAATCAAAAATTTGTTAAAAACAGTCCCAACAACAAAGTAAGCATAAATTATCCCAACTCCAAAGAAACCAGCACTAAAAAATAAACCAGCAGCTATAAAAGCATAAAAGCTATAATACTAATAAAGTACTATCTCAGCATATAAATCGCAGGTGAATTAATTACTAACCTGGCCCATGTCTTCCACGTATACCAGACTACAACGAAAGGACCAATAAGTAAATTTGGCAAAATCGTTATTGCAAGCTGATTGCACATCCTTTCCACGTCCTGTGTTATGCGTTGGTCTCTAAAATAAGCTATTTGAGTAAGAGATATTGTAAAACTGTCAACAGCCTGAATATGATGTACACTTTAAAAAGAACGAAAAGAATATGAATAGAAAAATCAAGTGAAATAGCATAAAAATCAAAGCTAACACCGTCAAGTTCTTACGGATTATCAATCCCCTCATCATCAACACAGTTTATCTGATAGTACGTGCGATCCAAAAAATATAGTCTATGTAACTCCCTTCCAGCACTTCCTCTCCAACTCAGGTACAACAGCCAAGAGAAAAATGACGAAAGAGCAGTCAACTAAAGCAAATTAAACAAAATTTGACAGCTCGTGGAATCAAAATTTTTAACCAATATACCAGCTGCAAGGTTTAAGAAGCTGGTAGTAGAATGAAAAATGAGACTGTAAGTTCACATACCGTACATTTTGCGATACACAGTACAACACCAGTATAAAATATGTACCAAAATCTATCCTTCTGAGAACCAAGCAAAGCACCATACATTTTACCGGGAATTAATCCTACGTAGTACGCAACGAATTCATCTAAAAAATCATATAAGTTTTCGAAATTACTGTACAAAATAAGAAAACGTTAGAAAGCATAATTTCCAAAGAAAAAAAATTAACGCTACACTTTGGAAATAACTGAACTATAATTTTTTTTTGCAGGTCACTTTAATATTATTGCATTTTCAAAGAAATGACAAAGGAAATAAAGAACGATCACTAAAAACCCAACATTTCATCTTGACAAAGGAAGCGAATGCGCATTCCGACAAAAAACGACCATTAAATTCAAAAAATAAGGAGGAGAGTTAGTGACGCGCATAAAATAAGCCAACGCCCGATGAGCAATGAAATAATGCGAGTCATTCAAAATCCTCAAGAAAACAACTGCCTCAATTAAACTGGAAAGCTGTATCACTAAATCAGACAAACTGACCCTGACTATCATATCCCACAAACTTAGAAAATCTAGGGAATCAGAATACAAAGCAAAATTAACACCCAGACCGATTAAAAATAGTCGGAACCTTACTGTCGCATTTAAAATGAGATTTTGAAGCAGAAGTAGAGATAACATTGTGTATTTAACTGATAACAACCTCGAAACAGAATATTCTTTATCATGCCAGACAAATGAAAAAATGCTCACAAGCCAAAAAGAACCTTAATTCGTAGGAATTCTGTTAAAAAATGTTAGGAAAATCTTCCCATTAAAAAGCCTTGATTCGACTGAAGCTTGCTACCACATTTCAAATGCCGTAATATTTTCCAAAAAAATTTCATCAAAACCCCTTCAGAATTACCAAAAGTTTTTAAATAACGACAACTATAAAACATATGAAAAACAGTTTATTAGCTTCAGTATTTGGTAAAAAGCACAGAAAGGAGCAGTAAAAGCTGTAACAATTTTTGGCGACAAGAAGTAGCAAGAGGTACAAAATAATGTCATTTGAAAAACGTTTGGAAAAAAATTAAGATTCTAAGAGTTGTGGCCTACTTCCAATAGAAGTTACAATCGTTCCGATGACCATCAGCAGCGGAAAACGAGACTCTTTAAACAATATTGACCCGACCAAAACAAGCCTCTTCAAAAATTTAACTCCTACACCATAATTTATTTCCACTTCTCTATGTTTGCCCATCTGAAACATGTACACAAATGTAAGGAAAAAAATAAGAATGAGTAAATAAACTTTTTTCAAGTTGAAAAAATACAGATGCTATCCAGAGGAAAAATGAGGAGCATTAAACAAAAACCTTGAACACGATTTTAAGCTGGTGCTTTTACAAAACATTCGCAAATGAGGAAAGAGTGTTGAGAACTGAGGTACCCATCGGCGTAAAACCATATATTTACCGCCAAGGAAATCAGCAGCAATCTTTCTTATCAGAAATGATGCATTTATCAAATGTAGGTGATCCGCTTTCGAGAGCCGAAAACTGTAAGAATGCACTAGAATAAATTACACATACGTATACAAACAGTAAGGTCTCCAGCGGTTGTCAATAAAAGATAATGCATTACAGCGCTGTCAACACATATTACAACCAACAAGTAATACTGTTTCACAAATGGCGGATACGTAAAATTAACTACCTCTACGAATCCTGTGTAACGAATAAGCAAATTTGCACACAAGATTCACTCAATTATCATGCCCAAAATGACATTCACAGTGAATATTCATACAGATACACAGACGTTTTTTGTATCGACAATACAATTAACAACACGTTTTACTTGACAACATCAAAATACCCGTATAAACAGTATCATCCTTATAATCTCTTTTTTTTCTTTTTTTTCGTGTTTCCTGGATATACATATATATAGTCTTGAATTCTCGTAAGAATAAAAAACTTTTCGTTTTTCCACCTGTCAATCACTTAACAGGTTAAACGCCGACCGGCATTTAGTTAAGAAAGGACAGC